AAAAATATTATGAGAAAGCTAAGAGATATAAAAGAAATTTACATACATGTATGTCCAAAAAATAAATATTTAAAATACAATAAATGAAATAAAATTCTTTTTGCTTGATTTTCTATGTTACTTTTTGTTCACTTTTTACTTTATCACTTTTTCACACAAATTGGACCAATCTCTCGAGATTTTTCACACAACATTTCACCAAATGAACAATGCACGTAATACTTTCCTCTAAATTTCTACTCTGAACCATGTATGCTTGAAGAACAAATGTTTAAGTGGAACCACTATATGTGTATGTATATACAGTAGCACAACTCTCCCGATTTTGCGTGGCCAAAATAGAGTGAGCATGCGCGAAATAAGCAAGTTGCCCCGTCTCATTTCCTCCTTCTTTGCTCTCTTTCTATTTAAATGATTGTTTCAATGTTCTATTTAAAGAGCTGAAAGCATAAATTTAGAGGGAAATATAACCTACATTGTCCATTTGGTAGTGTTGTGTGAGAAATCTCAAGAGACTAGTCTCGTAAAATATCTCTTTATTTTGTTCATTAATAAAACATTTCCTTTTAATATTTTAACATGTAGTACTTTGTATATTACGTATACATTATATGTCAGCATAATTATCAAAATTATTTTAATATATAATATATATATTGTATTAATTAATATATATCTTTTCTATATAAAATATATTAAATTTTTTATTTATTGTATTTAAAATTTATTTTTTTGACATATACATATATCAAAATTTTCTTTTATATCAACTCAAAACATTTTCGTAGAATATATTTACAATTATATAATATTTGAATATTTTTCTTTATAAATATACATTTTAAAGATAATTTAATATTTTTTCCTAATATTTTTCTATATACATTTTCTCTTTATTTTTCAATATATTTACAATTTTGTTGGAGTGCGACGCGAACTCCAGTGAGTTTTGACAGAGCGAAAAAAGGATAAAAAGAGAAAGAAGTTTATGTGGGTAACCATGGCATCCTAGGTAACTTATTTCACGCATGGGCACTCCATTTTGGCCAACATAAAATCAGGAGAGTTGCGCTACTGTATATACTGTGGTATATACAGTACAACTCTCTCGATTTTATGTTGGCCAAAATGGAGTGCGCATGCATGAAATAAGCAAGTTATCCCGTCTTATTTCCTCTCTTTTTTATTGTTTTCTCTCTTTTTCTCTCTATTTAAATAAGCGTTTCAATGTGCCACTTAAATATTTGTTTTTCAAGCATATATGATTCAGAAATTTAGAGGAAAGTATTACGTATTATGTATTGTTCATTTGGTGAAATATTGTGTGAAAAATCTCGAGAGATTGGTCTAATTTTTGTAAAAAAGTGATAAAGTGAAAAAGTAAACAAAAGGTGACATAGAAAATTGAGCAAAAAGGATTTCTTTTTATTTATTGTATTTTATTTATTTTACTTATACTTATTTTTTGGACATATATGTATATAAATTTCTTTTATATTTCATAACTTTTTCATAACATTTTCATAGATATATAATTACATAATATTTCTATACAAATATACATTTTTAAGTTAATTTAATATTTTTCCTAATTTTTCTAAATTTTTTTCTTTATTTTTCAATATATTTACAATTTATTTTTATTAATTTTCATAAAGTTTAAATTATTTCATCGCAATATTAGGTTTATTCGCATGCTTTAATATGTTCCAATGTGTTCCTACAATAGCACTTACTCATTTCAACGAATTTGTTGGATTGCGATGCGAATTAATCTAGTGAATTTTGCGAGGAATTTTGACAGAGTAAAAAAAGGATAAAAAGAGAAAGAAGTTTAGGTGATAATCGTGGCAACGCTAGGTAACTTACTTATTTCACGCATGCGCACTCTATTTTGGCCAACCTAACATTAAAGGTGCCGACAGAGAGTTGCGCTACTGCATATACTGTGGCGTCGCGTTGTGACACGATGGATGACGCGATGCATGACGCGCTTAGTGGAAACGTATCTTAAGAAGAATAAATCTATAGTCAACTATCTCAAATTAGGTTAGGTTCTATTATGTGTTCGATGAGACACGTGCATTTATTAAAAATAGTGTCAATAATATTATATTATTGAAATTATTCAATATTAATATATTGAAAAAAAAGGTAATTATACAGTTTAGCACAATCGCCTTAAAAATCAATAAAATTAGGCTTATTCAATGCGTTTTTACATGAAATGAAAGAATCTGATAGAAATAAGCGTCGCTCTGTTTCGCGAACCGAGATATTAAACATTAAAGTTGACGACTCTCTCTATTGAGGTTAGGGTAATTATTTAGAATAGCCCCCTCCCTTCTCTCAACCTAAAATCTTAATAAAAATCTACTCATTCGACGCGTTTTCACTCAAAACGAAAGAATCTGACGCTTATTTCTGCCAGATTCTTTCATTTCATGCTAAAACGCATCGAATAAACCTAATTTATGATTTATTGATTTTTTTTTAGGTGATTGTGCCAAACTGTAATTACCAAAAAATATTAACTTATCAAACAAATTAGAAATCTTATAAGTGAATTAGAAATATTAAAAATACTATTGAAATAATATTGATGCTAATTGAAGTTATTTTTATTATTACAAATTAATTGTTATTTAATTATTAATGGAACAAAACACAGTTTAAAACATAAAAGAAAATTAAAATCGAACTGAAAAACGAATAAATATCAATAGTTAAAAATGTCTAAGCGTCCAGAGCTTATGGCACCACCTGAAGTGGTAAGTTGCAAAGTTTATTGAGATTTTACATTGTAAACTCTCTTACATTGACTTTGTATATTTTTTAATTTATAATTAATAACAAATAATAATTTAATTTATAATTAATAAAAAGGTTAAAAATTGTATTAATAAATTAAAGAAGAAACATTTTATTCTTTCTGTAACAGTATTATGATGAAAAAGAAGCTAATAAATATACTTTAAGGTATGTCATAATTTTTACAAATAATTTTACAAATTATATACCTATATCTATTGCATCTTTATAATAAAATCTATGTAATAATCCTTTTTTTGATAAGTTCTCGTATGATAGAAATCCAAATACACATGTCTGAACGTGCTATAGAACTTCTTTTGTTACCTGAAGATCAGAGCTGCTTACTTTTGGATATTGGATGTGGATCAGGCCTTAGTGGCAGCGTATTGGAAAATCAGGGACATGTATGGATAGGTGTTGATATTTCTTCGGCTATGCTTGGTAAATATTTTAATTTTGATATGATATAATTTAACAATATTTTTTATAACATGTAATATTAAGTGCATGTATATATGTATGTAAAATTATATATTGATATATTATTTTAGATGTAGCTATTGAAAGAGAAATAGATGGTGACTTGATTCTGGGAGATGTAGGTCAAGGATTACCATTTAAAGCTGGTACATTTGATGGAGCTATTAGTATCTCTGCACTTCAATGGTTATGTTATGCAAACAAAGCTACACATAATCCTACGAAACGTTTATATCAATTCTTCTCAACATTGTATGCATGTCTATCAAGGAACGCAAGAGCAGTACTACAATTTTATCCAGAGAACAGTGAACAGGTTGAATTAATCACAGCGCAAGCTACAAAAGCTGGCTTTTTTGGTGGTGTAGTCGTTGATTTTCCAAATAGTACAAAAGCAAAGAAAATGTTCTTAGTTTTAATGACTGGGGGAGCTGCTCCTCTTCCAAAAGCACTAGGAATAAATAATGAAGATAGACAAACTGTCACTAATTCTAGAAGGTTTGAATCTCTTGTTATTCATTTTTTATTATCTTATTACTCAATCTTTATTATTTTGTTATTCAATCTTTATTATCTTATGATTTATAATCATTTTTTAACGCATTTTATATTATAGGGAATACATAAAGAAAGCCAGAGGTAAACCACTGAAGAAAAGTAGGGAATGGATTCTAGAAAAGAAAGAAAGGCGACGACGACAAGGAAAAGAAGTTAGAGATAATTCCAAATATACTGGACGAAAGAGATCTAGTCGATTCTAAGATGCACTTCATTATACATAACTTCATTAACACACATAAAACACTTTAATAATTTTGAATTATAAATAATAAACTTCATAAAATTTAATTAATTTAATAAATATTTTAAACACATTTTTATTTTTAAAGAAACTATCATGTTTATTTTCAAATATTAGATTGATAATATAGAGACAATCAAGAATTAATAAAAATGTTATCAATTATTTTATATAATATTATTTATAATAATTCAAAGTTATTAAAGTGTTTTATGGCAATGAAAATGATAAATACACTGTGCGTGCGTACGTTGCGTGTACAGGGTGTTCCGTAAGTTTTGGCCAATCGCTTTTGTGTAGAAAGAGCAGACTAAACTGATTGCGAAAATTACAAAATGGTAAAGGACTTTTCGACTCAGTTTAGTCCGCTCTATTTAACAAAAGTGATTTGCCAAAATTTACGGGACACCCTGTCTGTCACGAATAACCACATATATATGAGGAGCAGATTTTCAAAATGAGTTTTGTCCAAAATTTCATTTTTTTTAGTTAGAGACAGTGTTCAATGTTGAAAGACTCATATTATAAGCTACTCTCTCTGAGATGTTTAAACAACATTTTTTCATCAATTTATTTGGTGGAAGAACAGACGTTTCAAAGTGCATTATGTTTTTTAATTACAGACAAATAAAATGCATTTGTTTAACATTTTTATTTAATATTTCACATCCTATCGATTGACATATTGTTATTTTCTTTAAAGTGTGTAATTTTGTGTGCGTAGTTTCTTTCTCGTTTTCTGAAAATTACAAATGTTGGACAAAATGCATTTTGAAAGTCTGCTCCTCACGTGTTCTTTTATCTTAATATTGAAGAGTATTAGGAATTCTTAATAATATTAATATTACTAAAAATAGATTACAGTAAGAGAATAAAGAATAAGTTCAATATTTTATATTATTCTTTAAATAAATGACATAAATTGTGAAATACTTTTTTGTACTTCATTAGGTAACACTTTTTCTAATTCTTTGTTATCCAACCACTGATACTTTACATTATTGGTGATATCTCCATCTATATATTTTGCCAAGAAATAAAAAATTTTAGCACCGTAACTTCCTTGCTCGCAAAGTTTTTTGGGATATTTGTATTTATAAAAACCGATAGGTGCATTACCATAAAACTTCACTTTAATATTTGCGCCACATGCATCTTGTAATATTCTCTCTGCAGTCTGCAAAAGAATAATTTTATTTAACCAAATCATATTTTTAGTCTTTGCTGAAGTATTCATACATATCAAAATTAGTTGTACAAAAAAATTGGAAACATACTTGTCTCATTGTCTCTCCTTCTTTTCGAATACCTTGTGGAGGTATCCAATAATGTGAATTACCTACTTTTTGTTGTACTAGTAAAAGCAAATTTTTGTTCAATTTACGTTTTAAAGTTGACGTTACATTTTGTTCATCAAATTCTAAAAATAATACATGCAAACAAATTATTTATAAGAAAAATAATTTTAAAATCATAGAATATATACAATAATTTTATGATTCATGAAATAAAGATTTGTACATGATTTATTTTATAAACATATATTCTGCTTTTTTATAAATTATTATGCTCTATTATGAAAAGGAAATTATTGCATACTCGTAATTGTTAGCGCAAATTTAAAATTGTTTAATTCCTCTTGACTGCTATCCTCAAACTCCTGTGCAGTTTGTACCAAGGTCTCTATTGTTGTGTCTTCGTTGGTGCTTGACTTTTTTTGTTCCTCTTTTTCTTTTTTCAGTTCGTGATCAGATTTTAAACTAGTTTCATATTCAATTTTTTTCAACATATTATAAAATTTCAGTTCCATTTCTCCCATTGACTGTATTATAACTGGATGACGTTCTAAACAAACAGCACTGTATAAATCCCATTTTCTCGTAGATGTGACAGTACTAAACGTCCGAATATCCTGATGTTGAACGACACTGAGATATATTGCAACAGCTTTTTGTGATGTATCTGCATAAAAAAATTTAATATTGTAAAATATTAGTGCATAATTATAGATGACATGTTATATAGCTAAATGACATTAAATTGTTAATAGTCCAGTTAAAGGTTAACAATATTAGAGTTGCTCAGTTGCCGCTTTTTTAAGTTAATATTGCCCAATATTCAAATAGAAGAGAAAAACTCAATTGTTTTTGCTTACCCGATAAAATCTGATTTAAATTATACGATCCAACAGATCGCAAAATTTGTTTGAACATTTTAAGTCTGTTTTTTTATTTTTGCATAAGACTGCACTAAAACTCTCTCGCTTTCGTCAAATATATATCTATCTTACTTTAAGTTCCAAAAGTGTTTACTGGTGTTTATTAGTTCAGTCAGAAAACAGATCTCATTCTCATATTATTTCATAACCTAATCAGAGAATTGGTTTCTCTCTTGGTCTTTCTAACCTAACAAAGGTGATCGATTCGATATCTTGACCATCCGACCTTCGAGAATCGCAATATCGTCATTCGATAGGTCACCGCGCCGCGATCATGTTATCTGTATCTTTCGCGATTTATAACGTAATTTATCTTTTAGAATAATCTAGGAAATGTATTTTATAGACGAAAAGTAATGCAAACATTCTATAAGGTGTCAAACATTCGTAATGTGTGAAATATATGATTAGTATATACATCAGTATTACAAGTCCATCTCCGTTCAGTTGGTTTTCTTTGGTTTACTTTATCTTCGCAATCTTCGCCGCCTGCTTGCCCTAAAGGTAAACTATTAATTTTCAAGTATTTACATGCATTTAATAATTATCGCTCTTTGGTATCATTTTGTACGATATTTCAATAACGTATATACATATAATTGATATATATATATAT